ATGTAAAATGCTTTAATAGTCCCTGGAAAATGTCTTTCTAAAGGGATGGACACAGCCACGCTCTCCTAATGCCTTTGATGGAGTGGGTGAGATGGGGTTAATGTCGATTTGAACTGTTACTACTACAGTATTCCAGTTCATATAATAAATGATAATGTGGGAGAAAGGCCGAAATGATGCAGGTCTCAGACGTTAACCACTTTGGTGAAATCCACGAGCACGGTTATGGTGCTAACAAACCTAGAAACATAATCGGTGCTAACCGGGATTCGAACACACGATCATAGGTTTCTGGCGTGCCAACGGAACACAACACACCGAAATGCGGTGCCTTAGACGACTGGGCCCCTATATTTTAACATCAGTTATACAAGTCTCCTCATCGTGTGGGTAACCAATGCCATACGGACCAGCATACAGCTCTCGTGTAGGCGGTGGAACAACATACAAAGATGGGTCTCTACTTTTTAATTTCACGTGACATATTCCTCCTAATATCTTGGAACGTTATCGGGTCCGTTGTTTTGATAAATAATCAAAAACGAAAATTGGTCGCTGAGAAGCAAAAATGTGAGTCATTGCAGACTGCATTGGAACTGATCACCTGGCTACGGCCCATGGTAGAAACTGTATCAACCACCTCCTACAGTCAACACTGTCAACCAACTCTTACAATCACAACTATCAACCAACTATATCAAACCAACTCCAACAGCCTACCCTAAAAACTACATCTAAGAGCCAACACTTAGTCAGTTAACCAACTTAACAACCAACACTATCAACCACCTCTAACAACCAACACCATTAACTAACGCTATCAGCCAGTTATTTCAACGAACTATATATACTAACTTTACCGGCAAACTCTATCGACATAACTGTGGTAGCCAACACAATGGACCAACTCTAACAACCAACACTACAAGCAACTGGCGGTGAATAGCCTGAAAGTCATACACCTGCCACTGGTGGTTTCATTGAGTCAAGATGTATAAGCCATTTCATTGCATTGATTGTGGTGACATAGTATTGGCGGATGCCTCAGTCTCCTTGGTTTTTCTGTTCAAGAATTGATAACAATTAGAGATTTTGGTGACATCGTATTGGCGGATGCCTCAATCTCTTCCTGGTTTATCTGTTCAAGGATTGATAACAATTAGAGATTGTGGTGCCGTAGTATAGGTGGATGCCCCAATCTCTTCCTGGTTTATCTGTTCAAGGATTGATAACAATTAGAGATTGTGGTGCCGTAGTATAGGTGGATGCCTCAATCTCTTCCTGGTTTATCTGTTCAAGGATTGATAACAATTAGAGACTGTGGTGCCGTAGTATAGGTTGATGCCTCAATCTCTTCCTGGTTTATCTGTTCAAGGATTGATAACAATTATAGATTGTGGTGACATCGTATAGGTGGATACCTCAATCTCTTCCTGGTTTATCTGTACAAGCATTGATAACAATCATAGATTGTGGTGACATCGTATAGGTGGATGCCAAAATCTCTTCCTGGTTTATCTGTTCAAGGATTGATAACAATTATAGATTGTGGTGCCGTAGTATAGGTGGATGCCTCAATCTCTTCCTGGTTTATCTGTTCAAGGATTGATAACAATTAGAGATTGTGGTGCCGTAGTATAGGTGGATGCCCCAATCTCTTCCTGGTTTATCTGTACAAGGATAGCTTACAATTATAGATTGTGGTGACATCGTATTGGCGGATACCTCAATCTCTTCCTCGTATATCTGTACAAGGATTGATAACAATTATAGATTGTGGTGCCATCTTATAGGTGGATGTCACGATTGTTTTCTTTGTTTTCATTGCATTTTGAAGTTTGTGGTGAAACAACGTAGACTGATGTCAGCAGTGTCTGCTTGTGGTATATGAGATGAAATATGGGCTGAAATTGAATTCTCAGTCAGATCTATGAAAAATGGTAAATCAGTAGGAGAGGACGAGCTACCCATTGAAATTCTTAAACCCCATAGTCTTGTACCGTTTCTCACAAGTTTTTGAATATGTGTTATGACAGTGGACGAATGCCTAAATTCTGGAGTCGTGGTATCATTCCTCGAGTACCCAATCCATATACCAAGGACAAGAGAGACCCTGTGGCGTACCGGGGTATAACATTGACATCCTGTGTATTTAAAATATATTGACATGTTCTAAACGGCAGATTCCCCAGTTGGGCTGAGGCAAATAATCTCTTTGTTGAGGAGCAAAATGGATGCAGAAAGAGGAGAAGCATCATAGATCATTTAAAAAGTCTGAGTAACATTGTGGAAAACAGAAAAAAGAAGAAGGCGAGCACAGCGGTGTGAAACAGGGATGTCTATTATCTCCTCTTTTGTTTAATGTATTCATGAACGACCTAGAACTGATGTTGATGAGCCTCAATATCGGCGTCCAGATTGACAATGAGCTAGTATGCATGTTATATGCCGACGAAATTGTCCTGATGGCAGCAACAGAATAAGGCTTGCAAGACCATCTCAACTACCTAGGTTCATGGTGTAAAACTAATAATATAGGTATCAATGCCGACAAATCCAAGTTCTGCGCTTCAGTAACCCTTCTGAGCCGAGATCCCAAGGTACTTTTACAGCCGGTAATATACCTATTGAAACTGTTAACAGATATAATTACCTGGGTCTACTTCTGGAGGGGGCACGGGTGGCCCAGTCGTCTTAGGCGCCGCGATTCGCTGTGCAGCGTTGCGTCCCTTGGGCACGCAAGAAACCTATCATTGTGGGATCGAATCCCGGTTCGCCCCGTTATGTTTCTGGGTTTGTCAGCACCATACCCGTGCTCGTGGGTTTCATTGAAGTGGTAAACGTCTGAGACCTGCATCACTTCGGGCTTTCCTCCCACATTAAGCTGACACACCGCGATATATTTGTAATACTGATAAAATCGGCGTTAAACCCAACTCACTCACTCTACTTTTGGATGACCATCTAGACTACAATATTACGGCTACAACTGTTGCCCAAGCAACAGGTAGAGCACTAGGTCTTGTAATTGCCAGGTGTAACGGGATAGGAGGTGTTGCCTGCAATGTATTCACAAAATTGTGTGACATTCTGGTTTTACCAGTAATAACATATAGAGCGGCAGTCTAGGGTCAAAGAGAGTTCTCGTCTATCAATGCAGTTCAGAATCGAGCATGCCGTTTCTTTTTGGGAGTTGGAAGATATACATCCACTGATGCAGTACTTGGAGATTTGGGATGGCATAAATCAGAGCCAATCAGTCTTACGACAATGGTGCAGATTCAAGAACATGAATGATCAGAGACTCAATAAGAAGATGTGAACGTGGGATGGCAACCTTTCATCTCCCCGCTGCAAAAACTGGACTCTTAGAGGCCATAGGTTATTCCCCGAGAACAATGGTGATCACCTCTATTCACAAGATCAAGTTCCACTATCAGCAACAAGAGCAGTTATCGATCACCTGGAAGCTTCGTTTACAGGTGACTGGAGCCGCCGGGTCGCAAATACCACAGGGAAATTCCGCACTTACCGCACCCACAGTACTGAGGTCTAGGGGGCCAGCTTGACCCCCCGGGTGTTACCTTAGTGCCTTATCGAAGTTCCGGTGTGGTGTAGCACCAATGAGACTGGAAACAGGCCGGCATGAAGATCTCCCTTTTGAAAAATGCGTGTGCCCCCTGTGTATGTATCAAAGACGAGATGCATGTAATGCTACAGTGTCCTGTATAGGACGACCTCACATATGAGTTACACCAAGAAACCAGAGCCACCTGTCAAGATTGTTAAGCGTGGTCAGATATTGACAAGCTCTCAGAACTGTTTACCAATAATCACCTAATGTGTAAATGTGTAAAAACCTGTTTTATATTCTCAAGAGACGTAGATGTCTTCTTTGTAGGTAATACCGCTTTATATTTACTGAATGTTCATGTATGTTACCCTTGTATTTTATGTGGTGTATATACACTTCTACTTATATATACACAAGCTCCCATTACACTTACAGAGTGGCTCATGTATGATATTATTACAATCTCATGTTCTTTTACATGTGTATATGAGATGCGACTCAAATAAATTATCTGTCCGTATGTCTGTCTGTGCTTAATATGAGAATACATTTTGTTGATAATGATGCGTATTAGTCCCAATGTCATTTCCCTATTCTGCTTTATTTAGCATTAGTATATAAGCTAATGTCAATCAATATATTGTGAATACACAATCAATATTTATCACATGTATTGCAGAGTAGATGAATGTCACCAGATGTTTCAAAACACATCTATTATCATTTACAGTGGCATTAAACTTGTAATTTCCTGTACTTTCAAAATAATGATATGTTTAAATTCAGAACACGAATAAATATATGGGGAGGACGTTAGTCTAATGGAGAATGCGTTCGAACAGTTCACGTAAAAGGCCAGTGTTCGATTTCCAAAATTTAACATACTTTGGTTATTTGTGGTCTCAATTGTAATATTTTCACAATACTTTCAACAATAGGTCATTAAAACGCTCTACCTGCTCGTTTCTCTGTTTGTTCAACTGGTACTGAAGTCTATTCCCAAACATGAACCTCACGTTATCTTCAACCAGTGCCGTATTGTTCACGTATGAACAAACGCTTTGAGAACCGAAATCGCTCTTTTATGTCCCAGTTAACCTACACCCATACTTTGTATATCTGCACCCTCTCCCTCGTGGTTTTATTGTTTGTTGTCCCTTCCACAAAATGGGTGATAATATCTGACGGCGATAGAGCATGACAAGGGGATTTAACCTTGAAGCAACCTCTATCTCCGAAACAGCTGGTTTATCGGTCAGTGGGAAACAATGAGCTGTGTACAATTGTTGTTTTACCCTAGCTCGGCACGTGTCGGGAGGGCATAGTCATCTGTGTTATTGTAATGTTTATCAAAACAACACCAGATGTCACTTTTGCTTTAAATTTAAGTACGAATTTATGTGAATGTAGTCTTTCACGGAAGTTTTATCAATGATGGAGTTGTATATGACGCAGGTGAAAAATCATTGTTTACATACATCCCTTTTGTCGAGTATGAGTCACTATCTAGAACACTATTAACCGCGAGACTACGCTTGTCCTGCAATACACCAGTTGTGACACGTCCTTGAATGGGAAATGGATGATTCCTTGTCGGAGGATGGTTCGAGGGTAAGCAATTTCTCTTCTGTCGTGCTTCGTAGATAGTGATAAATCATGCCGACGGCATATATGTCCATATTTTAAATGATTAACAGTAGAAGCTCAACGTGAATGTTTAAGGAAATCACACTTCGTTGGTAGTGGAACGTTTGGGAAAAACGTGCAATTAAGCCTATATTTATGGAGATGCATTTATCAGTAAAAAAACATTTTGAAAGACATCAGGCATCTGATTAGGTCTTCGCGATAACAAACCATTATGTCTTCAGAAAAAATCGCGGACCTTACCGAAAAATTTGCTTTACTTTGGAGCAAAAATCGTATTCGGTAATGGCGATTCCTGATACTCCAATATTTAAGTGTATTTTTCAAACAAGTAAAATTTGGTACATGTATGGAATCAAGTCACAAAAACGCAACTGCTACAGAAAAGCATGCATTCCATGCAAAATTTGACTTTAATGCAAGCCCCATGCATTTCACTACCCAAGAATGGGTATAAAAAACATGTGCGTTAACGGGATTCCATGTGTATTGTTTAGCATCTTGCTAACAACAACCTCTCAGAAAAACAATAAAATTATTATTCAACATTACGAAATGCCATGCATGTCCGAAAATGAGCGCCTGCTAGTCATTGGTATGCTTGAAGAAGGATCGAGTCAACGTGATGTTGCAAGACAATTTAACGTCCACAGAAACACCATTTGGTGTTTATTGCAACGTTGGCAAGAGACAAATGCAGAGACCATCCTCGCAGTGGCAGGCCACGCGTAACTAATAATCGACAAGACAACTTGATTCGAACAACACACCTACGAAATCGATTCCAGCCAGCAACAGTGACTGCAAGAAGCATTCATGGCCTTCGACGAATATCTTCACAAACCGTACGTCGTCGCCTCAGATGTGCACGGATTGTCGCCAGAAGACCCGACAGACGTCCCGTTTTGACAGGAAACCACCGTCAAGCACGTCTACAGTGATGCAGATAGCGTCTACGCTGGACGGCCATGCAGTGGGGACACGTTCTATTCACTGACGAGTCTCGTTTTCACCTCAGCCACAGCGATGGACGGATTCGAGTGTACCGACGTCGAGGTGAACGTTACCTCAATCATTGTGTCATGGAAGAAGATCGGTTCGGGGGCGGCAGCGTTATGGTATTGGTTGGAATTACAGCAAGACAGAGGACCCGTTTGAGAGTGGTAGAGGGAAATCTCAATGGACAGCGCTACCGCGACGAGATCATCGGCCCTGTTGTTCCACCGTTTTTGCGTCGTCATGGCCCAGGCATTACCTTTCAACATGACAACGCCCGGCCTTATATTGCTTGACTTGTTCAGGATTCCCTTCAACAAAACAACGTGAATGTCATCCCCTGGCCTGCTCGCTCCCCTGATCTCTCACCAATCGAGCACATGTTGGATGAGATGGATCGGCGCCTTCGACGTCAACCACGTGTTCCACAGACACTCCAGGAACTTCGAAACATGCTCCAGCAGATATGGACAGATATCCCACAGGACTTTGTGCGACGCCTGGTCCATTCCATGAGACGAAGATGTGTTGCTTGCATCGCAACCAGAGGTGGACACACACGCTATTGATCTGTAAATTAACATGTTGGCACGTTCATGTTTTATTTAAGAAATCACGCATTTTTAAAGTCAGTATGACAAATTAAACCATTTGAACACTTACAGGAGTCTTTTATCTGTTGCAAACCGAAATTGTTTCAGATTTGGTAAAAAACATAACTTTGCATTAAATCTAATTCAATGTCACAGGAACTTTTGTTGTTCAGTGTAGTTGTCTCATGCAAGCGCTTAATAAATAAAAGGTACTAGCATGTGGAACAGAACTTCATACTAAATGAATATATTAAGAACTAAGCAGCTATGTCTTCGTTATTTATTTTCATTCCATAACAAACTGTGACAAACAATGTCAAAGTTTAGAGGTAACGACCGCCTTCACACCCAGGTCTGGTCAATGTCAAAGTACGAGAGATACGACCGCATTAGCACCCATGTCGTGTTCATGTCAAAGTGTTGAAATTACAACCGCCTTAGCACCCAGGTCGTGTTCATGTCAAAGTGTTGAAATTACAACCGCATTAGCACCCAGGTCGTGTTCATGTCAAAGTGTTGAAATTACGACCGCATTAGCACCCATGTCGTGTTCATGTCAAAGTGTTGAAATTACAACCGCCTTAGCACCCAGGTCGTGTTCATGTCAAAGTGTTGAAATTACAACCGCATTAGCACCCATGTCGTGTTCATGTCAAAGTGTTGAAATTACAACCGCATTAGCACCCATGTCGTGTTCATGTCAAAGTGTTGAAATTACAACCGCATTAGCACCCATGTCGTGTTCATGTCAAAGTGTTGAAATTACAACCGCATTAGCACCCATGTCGTGTTCATGTCAAAGTGTTGAAATTACAACCGCATTAGCACCCAGGTCGTGTTCATGTCAAAGTGTTGAAATTACAACCGCATTAGCACCCATGTCGTGTTCATGTCAAAGTGTTGAAATTACAACCGCCTTAGCACCCAGGTCGTGTTCATGTCAAAGTGTTGAAATTACAACCGCCTTAGCACCCATGTCGTGTTCATGTCAAAGTGTTGAAATTACAACCGCCTTAGCACCCATGTCGTGTTCATGTCAAAGTGTTGAAATTACAACCGCATTAGCACCCAGGTCGTGTTCATGTCAAAGTGTTGAAATTACAACCGCCTTAGCACCCATGTCGTGTTCATGTCAAAGTGTTGAAATTACAACCGCCTTAGCACCCATGTCGTGTTCATGTCAAAGTGTTGAAATTACAACCGCATTAGCACCCATGTCGTGTTCATGTCAAAGTGTTGAAATTACAACCGCATTAGCACCCATGTCGTGTTCATGTCAAAGTGTTGAAATTACAACCGCATTAGCACCCATGTCGTGTTCATGTCAAAGTGTTGAAATTACAACCGCCTTAGCACCCAGATCTTGTCCATGTCAAAGTGTCGAATTCTACAAAAGCCTTAGCATCCAGGTCGTGTATATGTCAAAGTATGGAAGTTACAACCGCCTTAGCACCTAGATCTTGAATGTAAACCTACATAACTGTTGTTCCTTGTCTCAAGTTGTTTGTCTGAAAACCAATCGTGCAGCGCTAACTCATCAATCACACTCATCAATCAATCACTTAACAATCACACTCATTCGATTCAAAATTTGTTTCACGTTATTTTTTCAGATTTGCCTCAGTGTATTTATTATCTGTCATAATTCCATATCTGTCATAATTCCATGATAGTGCCTTATGGACAGCAGTTCTAACGTTCTATATATTTGGTACATTGTTTGTTCGTAAGGTTTATAACCACTTTTGTGTACGATAAAAATTAGTGAGCGTGTGGGTGAGTGAGTGAGTAAGGTTTAACGCCGCTTCGATGGCTATTAACTGTCTCTAAAACTAATATATATTGTCGAATGTCGACATCTCGTCATTTGAGATGCACACATTTTAAGTATTTGCATTTTTAAATTAAACATCTTTATTCTAATTCCTATCAGTCGTTCGAACTTCCACGATTCATGCCATAAAAAAACCCCTCTAATAGTACTCTCAATTTCTCGGTGTGCTATTGGTTCTCCTCATCACCATTTCTGATACGACATTGCCGCAAGGTGGGCAAAGTGAAGTCTACATTGCAGTCACAATACCACGCAGCACGTCTCCTGTTTCTAAGGCCTCCCATGAATGCCTTCGGTTGTTTTCATGGTATGTTCATTAAAATAGATAGTCGTATACATTTAACGTATCAGAAATATTAGAGCAGGTCACTTTGTGCACTGTCAACTGTATCATCGAGACATGACCATGTAGAAAACAAGAGGGTCAGGGTTTGTCTGACCGCCCTTGAGTCCATCATTAACTTCCGCAATGGACACGAAACAAACAGCATGTTGTTCGCTTCTGAGAAGCCTCAAAGAAAGCTAATTAGGTTCGTTGAACGAGTTTAACAAACAGCACGACGGATCCCTGCATCGCTATTCCGCCACACGCCGTGTCTGGACGCTGTTTAGAAGGACCATGAATAAGTTGAATTAGCATTATTAGCATATTGCTCTTCTGATAGAGTGACTCTTCATTAAAACCTGTATCGGGGTAATTCACCATGTCAGTGTCCGATAAGGTAATGACAGTTTTATGCGCAGAGATATCAACTTGAAGTCATTTCAGAACGCTTGACTAATATGTTCGACTTAATTGAGTCTTCCACAGACTGTCAAAAGTAAAATCCCCGATCACGTGATAAAATCGTTACCGATAATATCGTATTTAATTAAACTTTCTCTGACCGGTTTTCGGTCTATCCGACCCTCTCCCACAATCACGCGATGTCAATTCTGTCTTTTGATAAAAACGGAAACTCATTTCATTCGGTACATCGCACCACACGGATCAGTCGTACGCTGACACGTGACCTGTAAGTCGTTGAACCCGGCACAATATGTTACATTACCAGGTACAGTACTAGACATGTAAATATCAAGTATTGTTATGTAATAATCTACAACCATCCCTGTCTCCGTCTGCCTGTCTTAATATGCGCGACGACCCGTGAGGATGCCGGGGTAGAATAGGTCTTCAGCAACCCATGCTTGCCGTAAAAGGTGACTATGCTTGTCGTAAAAAGCGACTAACCGGATCGGGTGGTCAGGCTCGCTGACTTGGTTGATGCATGTCATCGATCCCATTGCGTGGATCGATGCTCATGATATTAATCACTGGACTGCTGGTCCAGACTCGATTATTTACAGACCGCCGTCATATAGCTGGAATATTGCTGAGTGCGGCGTTAAACAACAAACAAACAAACAATCAAACCAATAATATGCGCGACACAGACACCGTATACAGTTAGCATTGACATTTACGTTTGTTGTCAAAGTAGGTACCACAAAAAAATCTTGCTCATAACTGCAGTCAGGCAATGAGGCTGCAAGTGTGG